GCAAGACCGTTGGCCGCATGTTGAAGGTTTTACGTTCAATTCAACACTGTCTCGAGTGCCAATCATCAGCTTGTTTTTATACATACAAAACAATCAAATCCACGTCGATAACGTCCCTCATGCAATTAACAGTCTTTGCTGATGGTGATGAAGCCATGTTTATCATTATTCCAATAAGCAGAGAACAAATCCTTGAACTCTGGGTATGGCATGTCTGTATTAACATGATCCTGATAAATGTGTTTCAAATTCCTTTCATCCTGACGGAAGTAAAAGAGTACATTTGTATTATCACGTATCAAATGTTTTGGAATACGTGCATAGGTCTGATAGAGATAAAAGCAGTCTGCGTTTTGATGGCGACCCATGCAAAAGAATGCACGCATCATATCCTGTTTTTCACACGTGACATCATCAAATATCATAAGAGAATTTGGATGAGTTTCTTCGGGTCTGACGACCTCTTCATGATCATTAAATGGAAAATAGCCAATAACTTTCACTGTTGTCAATAATTTTTTCAAAAACTGATATTTGGGTCGATTTGAGGACTTGGAGTAAACATAAACGTCTTGAAATCTTAGCCCACTAGGATGGGTAATGAGAGCGAACAGGGTAATCGTTTTACCGCAGTTTGAGGGTCCACAGATAATTGCACGTACAGTATTGGGTAAAAGTGGGCCGTGACGATTCTTTTGTTTATCTTTCTTTTTCTCTATTATCTTATCGAAATTCATCACTGGCAGCTTCGAACTTTGCTGCTTGAACTCCATCTTGACAACTGCTAGCAAGCTCCATAAATACATGACATTTATAGACTTGCACTTCAGTCTGTGCAAGAGCATGGTGGTGTGCAAACGTCTTAGAACGCGGAAGGGTAAAGGAATCGTCAACGATATCATCAACAAGTTACCCATTTAATTGCATATACCGGGCTGCCAGTATTGTGGACCGGGTACCAAGTTGGCTAGACGATTAACACGCGGTGATCCTGGGATAAATTCATTGGATAAAGCTTGTAAAGAGCACGATATAGCATAATCGAAAAATAGGGAAAATTTGGTCGTGGAGAGAGAGCCGGGGTCCACGGATACGGGAGTCCAATAACTGAAACCTAAACCATAAAGTAAAGCGAACAGACGGCGGTCCGGGATACCGAGTGCATACTTGCCGGAATCCAAGGCGTGAAGGGCGAGCTCTAGGAATACCTCGCCGAGAACGCGACGTATGATAGCGGAATGCGGGTAGGCCGAGAGTATTGGGAATTAGCTCACCCCATTGCACATTATCGGAAGCGTGACGGATAAACTAGGGTAGCCCCAAAATCAAAGAGCATATGCAGGCCGGGTAAAAGTCTCACCCAGCAAACGTCGTGCATGGGGAGCATTCCTCCCACCCGGAGATCGTCACCAGAGAGAGCGTAGCCTTCACCTAGAGAGCATGAAGAACAATGCGGAGCATTGGGAGCCTATCGAGGGCTCGAGAGAGAGAGAGCTGCCAATGGTCCGCACTGGGAGCCAGCCGAAGCGGCTCTGCCGAATAAGTGGGCAGTCTGGGTAGTATTGCCGATGGATAAGCTGCCGTCCGCCAGGACGTGCTGCCCTCCCCTCAGGGAGGATATCCCTGACACTAGTTTCTCCTGGAGCGCGCCGAATTCGAACGTCGCCAGTGACCCTTTCGAGCAACCCCGTCGAAGGATCAGCCGTTCGAATACCTACGCCATCTAACATGGAGCGCTCATACGCCAGTATGAGTCCTCTGCTATGTGCCAGGAAGTCTCATAGAGGGCTGGGAATGTTTCTATGCGTCCGCCCTGTGCTGTTGCCTATCTCCAGGCCTCCTACCACGCTAAGCACTCCGGCCCCAGTCCTCACACCCTTCGACGATTTGAGAAATTCCCGGGGAGGGTCGAGATGGCAGATGAAGAGGGCCAAAATATCCCAAAATTGGTTTAATGTGCGTGATTCGCGAAAATCCCGTTACACCACGAATCAAATGTATCAGGATATCCTTCCGAATGGATGAAAATTTGTTTATTTTTCTCTTGTCCTTTCAACGGTCTGACATACTCAGTTATCAATTGTTCCTTATCCTGCTGTTTATTAACCAGCACCAATTCTATCCCGTGAAAAAAACCTTTCAATTTGCTTGCCATTCAAATCTTTTAACCCTTCTTTGATATTGACAATGATTGTTTGAACACTGTTCTAATTATTTCGACAATTTTCCTTGCTCCAATCACCCTCGTATCGCTTTTCAAAGATAAATTTCATTCGATTGATGCGTACATCGTCTCGGACCTTATATTTGAAGGCCTCTTTCCGAGGTTTCTTCGACTTGAACCGATTTTGTATATTACGCCATACATTTTACTCATTACCCATAGTGACAGCTGCAGGCGACATTTTTATTGAAGAATGTTTCGAACTATTGTAAGAAGTAACAATTTGCTGCAATATATCTGTATATTGATGTGTTCTTATATGTGAAATACCACCACATTCGCTTTTTTAATGTGCAGTTGAATGGCTCCCCTCTAGCAACTTTAATGTCGGGATTACGTGCGACACAAAATCGTATCTTTTCATCAGAAAGTAATTTTCAAATACCGGCCGGTACGAATTCTTTTCTGTCAGTTTGTATCCAAACAGGCATTCTGCCATCACTCCTCCCCAATATACGTTTGAAGTGCCCTCAAGTACGGTCCTTATTTATTCTCCAGCGGTTGAACCCAGATAAACTTATTTAGAACGTGTGTTAAAATGACCACGAGTAAATAAGAAATACCATCATGGTATGTTGTCAAGGATCGTATCTCAACCAAATCAGTCTCCAACACAACCTGAATGTTTGTCACTATATAATGGACCAGTGAAAACTTATGTCTAATGTGTCGATGAAGTGTATACGCATCTAACTAGTTTTTTTATTTCTTTCTGAGGAATTTTATTTTCATATCATGATAAAATATTTCAAGCCCCTATATTCGCCTCCGACTGTGAAAGGTTGAAATAGTCCTCCGATAATCTTTCATCATCATTCGAAATGATAGCCATGGTGAGATCGATTCTTCTTTCACGGAGTACGAAGATAGAGCCCGTGATTTTTTCAAGATTGTACGGACATGGTGTACAAGGGAACTACGCGGTGTATTATAATTTTCACAATCACACGCAGCGATAGAATCATCTCCATCTTCTGAAATTACTGGTTCATCCCGACGAAGAATATCCAGTAGTAGTGGGGGTGGCCGTAGGGTTTTCGGATTTCTTATGTACTCTGTAACACTGTTCCTGATCTCGTCCCAGCGATCAAGGATAATTATTACCTTCACCCGTTCCCATGTTCGCATCCTAATTGCCCAAACGAATGAATGCGGGCGCGAGCTAGCTTTTTATGGGCCAAAACCTAACAAAAACCAAGAGAACCGAAGCGACGGTGAGGGTGGGGTGCTCCGCCTCACCCGAGGTCCGGAAGCCTCAGAAATTCAAAAATTGTATCCTAAAATATATCCTAATATCCTAGAATATCAAGAGAGGAGCGACATCCATGGGAATTTAGAGGTCTCACATAAATGAGGTAGAGTTATACGTATGATTCGAACACTATCTTGATTTGGGCATCAAATCTGTCACTAAAATGAACGATATTAAAGCAATGTAACGCCACAGCTGTGGTGGATTAGTTATTTGATCAGAATGATAATAATGACGGAGATAAAAACGGCATGGGGCGTTACTCGTCCGTCCTCGGAACTAGGAGCTGCTTGCGACGTCGGCGGCAGGCTCCGTCGTAAACTGACGCGGACCGAACCGCCACACATCTAGGTAGCGAGGAAATTCCCCAATCCCCACAACTTACTACTCACGCCGTATAATAATTTTTATTATGCTTCTTTGCGGCGGGACTAACGGACCGATGCGACTTCCCCGTATCAAAATTTTCTGTCAATTAATTTCCACTTTTCAATTTTTCCTAATAACCCTTTTCTTTTGCTAATTTTCGAATTAGTTGACATGTAGATTATTTGTCTCCGAGTGATTTTCATCAATTTATGGGATTTGTAGGTAAAATTCGATTTTTGACCATCATCGGCAATTGATAGTTGACTCTAGCCCTCCACCACCCGCCCAATCTCAATAATCCACCATTATCGACAGTTGAGAGTTGAGTGCAGCCCCCACCATGCAAGTTGGTAATAGAACGGAGTGGTGTGTTCTCCTAATTACCAATCGATTAGTGAAATATGCGAAAAGAACAATGTGCACCAAGGAAGGGAAAGAAGCCATTCTAACCCGCGTTTTTCAATTTTCATCGTGCAAACTTCCCATAGTTTTCAGTCGTCAAGGTTTTCAGATTTCCATGGTATCTGCCGATCAGAGTATTTGAGCCGTCAGTGAGTCTACCAGAAGGGTTTCTAGTAAATGTGAGCTGAATCCTAAATCAGGCCTAGGCAGCCCCTACCCTGACAGCAAATTATTCCCCGAACCTCTATTAGTATGTAACAACGGGTTGGAGAGAGCTAATTGTATCGAAGATGGGTCTTTACGAGCCGGGTTATAAAATGATTTTGTCTTTCTCTTTCAAAAGATTCCATCACGTTTCGAAGACTATTTGGCAAACTCAGAAAATTCCACTTCATGGGAATGGTTTCTATCATAAATTTTATCCGCCGCAAGCAGTTTAGATAGTTGCCTGCATCATTCTTCATAAATTTTCATTCATACCATCGAATATTCCTCCAAATACTTTGTTCATATCTGTAATGATAAAATCACTCTTATAGGTCATCAACTTCAGATGGCACCCATTGAAAATAAGCTATAAAGTAAAGTATCTATTACTTTATTCTTCTATAATTTGTATAAAAGTCATCAACATTGGAGCAAAATACCCACTTAGTATTTCTTGGCAGACAAATCACTGGTATAATTTGTTTCTAATTTGTTTTGTCATGGATTGGAGTCTCATTCAAGCATTGCTGATTACATGTGTTTCAGACAACGTGTTTAACCGAATTACCAGATATCACACCTTGTAATGGAAATGTTCGCTTACCACCCTGTGAAGAATCACCTAGTTCTGGTAGTAGTAAAGAACGGAGGGAGGGTCCCAGGAGCAAATGTCGTGTGTTGGCACCAATATTCCTGCTCATTAGTGTATTGTTACTCGGTGGACTGTGCCTACCACTTCTCCTACAATCTGCTCCAGCTACTCATCAGCAGAGGCTCGATGTAGTCCGGCGAATTCTTACCGAAGTACCTCTCATTGACGGGTGAATATCCATTAGTTTCAAGCATGTCAATTCGAATGCTGTTTCAGTTTTATTTAATTAGTCTATTGTATTGTCCAATATATGAACCATCATTTTTATTTATGTAGGCACAACGATCTGCCTTGGAATGTGAGAAAATTTGTCCATAATCAACTTGGTGAAGTCAATCTCAGCAGTGATCTGGGCCGAATTGATCCTTGGGCCAGGTCTGACTGGAGTCATACTGACATACCTAGGTTACGTACTGGTCTGGTTGGAGCACAAGTAAGTTGATTATAACTCTATTTTTCTCCTCCTTTTTTTTCAGCCTATATAGTTACGATTTTGTTAAGCAACCAGCCATATTTCTAATGTAGGAGTGATAAATCAAAGTGATCGCCGAATCATTAATTAATTTGGATGTTTTCATGATCTTCAAGATATGGATATATATCTTCAGATGCATTATCTTCATTAGCGCCCACCATGAATGGACGAACGGCGGTTGGATTATTGGCGATAGTAGATAAGTCGGTGAACTTAGTAAACTTATTTCTTTGCCCTCCGAGTTTAGATTCTGAACTGCAGTACGGGCATCCAAAGACGCAATACTTTGTTCGAAGTGTCCTGATACACCTCATCTTAGCATCACTTTGAATCTTGATATGCTTATATACTCGCATGTGACTCGCTCATTCTTGGCGTCTATCGTTCTGCTGAGACTCCATCTATATAGAGAAGTCTCCCTATTTAGTTATTATCCTCTGTTACTAGGAACAGCGAATCTTCAATCAGCTGTTTATTACCATCTCAAGACTTCTTCTTGGTTTATCGCCCATTTACTCTTGCGATATGTGGGGCGATATGCTTTTCTTATTGTGATTTCCATCATTTGCGAATAGGAAAAATCAGTATATACTAAGATGTCTATGGATACATATCCTAAATGGATTAATCACTGAAAGTTCATGAAAGAAGTACAATTATTGGTTAACTATGTTTTTTACCTATGTTATTTATTTTATAGATAAAATAAGTAATTTTCCGTATTGATATATATATTGTGACTTTGGGCGGAGAATTAATATAAAATAAGTCCCGGCCCGGGCACGATAAATCCAGGAAATTACTCACTGGGGGGTGAGAGTTCTATCATTAGTGAAATTCAGAGAGGGCCTAAAATTAAGGAGGAAGGGGGAAAGGGCGGAAAAACGTACTCGCGGGGACATTTGATAATAAATGCTATGTATTTTTGAAACCCAACCCGGGTACAAAGTAATAACAAAAGAACATGAAAAAAAATGTGAGGCCTTTTAGAAAAGAAAAACTGGGGAAGGGGTAAGGCCAGCCAACTTGAGACACACGATCAATTTTATCTAACAAAAAGAAAGAGAAAGTGGAGAAGCTAATCGGAGAAGAGGGGGGTGAAGTTAGGGGGAATCGTTCAACTTGCCGGGAAGGAGAAAATCTCCAATTAAATACGCTAATAAGTAATACTCGAGATGTGAACAATATGCCATAAAACGTAATACACGATAAACAATGAATATTGTTGAGGCTCACCGTTGAGGGGTTTATGATTGGCGGCAGGGTGAATATGGTTGGGGCAGGGGATTAATATCTAGGAGGCACTCACACATTCCTGCACACAGAATAATCCTCCTGGGTTCACCCGATTCCTCCACAACAGTCCTCCTAACTCTTCGTACAATTATCCTATCTTCCCAAATCACTCTCCTAACCAAAATACTCTCACCACAGGGGCAGCTTAATAACGAGTGATGGCTGCGTTTCACTCGTTGTTCTTCTTCCCGGATTATCACCGAAAATCAATCGGGGACATTCGTCATTGAGTGTCCTCTTCCTAATTATTCATCCGGGGGGGCTTTGCCAACGATGTCTTCGCCTGGGGGGGGGTCCCTTCGTCATCCGTTGTTCCATCTTCGTGTGAGTACCGCGGTGAGGGGAGCGCGGGGTGGAGGGAAGGAATTTTCCGGAAATGGGAAGCCAACAATGGCAGTTTTTATAACCTAATTTTAACTAATTTTAAAAGTGATTTTCAGGACGCAGGGGAGACGCTGAAATCTTGGTGCATCGTCACAATATATATTTATCTAATGATTATTTCGGAGACCGAAAACGGAAACCCTCTCAAATGGTTTAAAATGGTTGAAAAATACCCAATATACGAAATAAAATTAATATCCGAGCTGAAATTGCATTTTTTCTCCCACTTCATCCACATTTTTCATGGATTGTAGGATATGAGCACCATTACATAATGTATAGGGTCATAGCTTTTTTGGTCATAGTTTAGCTATTATGGGGACAGCTATAATTCGAATTAGCATGTAAAGTATTTTTTGAGGACATTTGTATGATTTCAATTTTGAAGACTCCAAAATGGGCACCATCATAGAAATTTTCTATTACTAGCGTATACGGCGCGCTATGCGTGCCCAAGCTTACATATATGGGGTATTATCATATAAAATCTTCATATAAAATCTGAATATTAAAAGAATCTTAAGTATCTAAAAAATTAGTCATAATAAACAATTATATATAAATTTTAAATTAATATATATATGTATTATATATGTATTTAACATAATAATTTATAAATATATAGGTATAGAATATATAATATATATTATATATATTATAATTATTTGTATGAATATATTGATATGATATGCATAGCTTAGCTATGCGCCAAAAAAAGCTGACAAAAAACGTTACATGCTTTTTTTTAAAAGGCAATCGATCGTCCTCAACATTTTTCTCTATATCTACGAGAATAGAACGAAAAAATCTCTTCGATTTTTTTCGTCAATCGATCATTGAGAATTCATAAAGGTATTAACTCTCAGTTCAAAGACGATACAAAATTGCAGTTATTGATCTGCTTTAATTGAATAACAATAGTACTTTCTATCTCATCGTTATGTAGTTTTTCATTGGATTCAAGGATTCTAATAGATCCTCTTTCAAACTCCAAATATGTAAAATCATTCATGCAAATGATTCAAGGGAGTTCATTGAACGTTCCTCCTTCAGAACGAGGGCATTTACCGCGATATCCGTGAATGATCGACGTTCTAATTCTTGTATTCGGGAGAGTTCTCACTGACAATTATCGCATAGACCGACTCCAAATGATGACGATCTTATGTAAAGATTTCATAATATACATTACATTTATACTCATTATATTTATACTCATATTCATGTCCTCATAGTGACCGATCAGTAAAATTTGAATGTCCTCATATTTTCGATGTGTCCCCATAATGATCATACGTGAGAATTGAAATGTCCCTATATGTTCCATATGCCCTCATATCATAAAATTAGTAGAGTTTTCTATAAATTTGTTTCTATCACGTTATTCAAATAAGTCTGTTCCTATCAACAAAATCTTCCATTTCGTTGGAATAAATGGAATTTTCAGTAAGGTCGGGATTGAATTCGACTATTCTTTTAAAATTTGCTATAATAATTCGATATCACGGTGCCCGATTCATACGTAACGAATCATCTTTCCTATGGATTCATTCACCATGCCAAAAACGATACACTAGCGTTTGGATGTGAGTTTAAAATATTTGTTGAGAAGACCTCATAATATACTGTAACGTGACATTTTCCCGGTGAATGGGAAATGCCCATTACCTTCGCCCTACTTCCCCTGAGCCTAACAAGAACCTGCTAAAATTTAACCTTATGGGCGCCAGGTAATTTTTGACCGGAATTACCAAACCGGAAAAAGTCCTTAATCCTAAACTTCACTAACCTCGATATTCGATTCACCGAAAATCGTAACTCAAAGTCTTAAAACTCCAACCCTAAAACATACTCAAAAATCAAAAAGGGAACCTGAAGGGAACGGAAAGGATAGTTAGGCTTTTGGGGAAAGGTGACGGTCCTGGAGTCGCTCAGTATGCCTGTTGTGGAGAGAGGGGTGGATTGTAGATGGGAACAAGGTTATGGCAAAATCGGGAAAAATATCAAAAAGAAAGGGAACGGGAGGCGAGAAATAAATTTATGCAACAAAACATTGTCCTTACGTGTTCCGCTATTCATGTAAAAATTCAGTACAGTAATGATAAATGATACGATTTAATTAGACTAAGCTGCTTCCAAATTTTATCAACAATTTTTAACTTTCTCTCAATACCAGAACTTCAGCAAAATTCCCCCCCAATTATAATTTTAATTCCCCCGTTAATATTATGTTCCATCCAAAAATCTCAAAATCCAAATCTAATCGCATCCTCCACTTAGCGCGAGATATGAATTCTCTCCCAAAATCCTAAATAAGGTTTCAATATTCTCCTTAATTCACCGCGAAAAACAAAATAATTTATTTCCCAAAACCTGAAATATTTTGCTAACTAGCCCACATTCATAAAGAATAATCGCATCGGAATGCGGCCTCAAGGATTATCGATCGGCTATAATCCGAGGAATAACCGAAATATTATTTGCGCCCGGGAAATCGATAATTTCCCGGAATCGGGCCTTTGATGCGGGAGTGCGAGCGAGAGAAAGAGAGCGAGAGAGACGCACGATGCCTCGCTGCCCGGTTAGCAGCGAGGAGAAATTCCCCAAAAAAATCTAACTTCCCTTAAAATTCCATAACTCGGAATCCGCTCGGCAGATTCCGGAAAACCCTGAACCATTTGGCTGGGGACATTCTCCCCCACAACCCCACAAAATTTTAGGCGTAAGGACGCATAATTAGTCCCCTTAAAACAATTAATAATCACGAGGAAATTTAACGCGCGATTTCCCACCTGTTGCATACAGCCACTCGTTGGCGGCCTCGATTGCGCCACGAGGGAGAACCACCGGCCTGGTTCGTTGGCCGTGGACAATTCCACCCAAAATTTCACTCAAAATTACCCCCAAAACCCCATAAATTACACCAATGACCTCCCAACCGCACTGGGGGATAGTGTACGCCGAAATTATTCGGAAAATCCTCTCCAAAACCACCCAAAAGTTGGGGGACACAACCGACGCCATTTCCAGGGCTCGGAAAAATCCCTGACCACCAATAACTCATTGGGGAGCCGCCAAAAAGGGGAAAATATTTAACTATAATTCTGAAAACTCACGATGGATTTTCTCGCTGCCCTTCTCTTTCGTTTTTGGACCATCCTGGTGGCAGCTAATTGTCCTGGTGTCCTCGGGATGGTGCACTATCACGTCTCACTACTCACTCACGTGCGTTTTCTCTCGCGACTAATGCGCAACTGATTTTCGGAGGTCAGTGTCGC